AACCTTCCTGCAAAGAAAACTTTGTATCAAAGACTTTATTTAATTTACATCTTCAAGATTTGCAAAAGCTTGTTTTCAGTGCTGCCTTGTGCTAGGAACAAAGTGTGCCCGTCTGGGGAAGGAGTTCACATTTCCTATACCCACAGACTTTTAAATCTAAGTTTCTTGGTACTGCTTTATATTGGTGCTTTAAACATTTATTTTAAGAATACTTTCCCAGATTCCTATAAAGAAGAAATAAAAGTTAAAGTACTCATTTAAAAATATATTTAGTATTTTTACTTTGTCTTTTCAGGGATCATATATTTTCACTTCATTCTTGATCCCAATTCTTTGAGAATCACTGATAGGGAAAGATTTTTCTCTTGGATATTTTTAGATGTCCATAACTCTGCTATTAATAATGCATATAACAACTAGGTGGAGACCTACGAAATGAGCTGTTCTAATCTGAAGGTCCCAAAGTAACTAGCCTGGTACTGTTCAAGGATTTGTCTTAAGATTTTCCTGAATAGCAGGTTCATTTCTTGGAAACTAGATTACTTTTTCAATTTGTAAGTAGTGAACTTTTAGTCTTCCCAATTCATTTTTAGTGTTTGCAACTTTTGTTAACAATGCTTAAGAATATAGCATATATAGTATATCCTTATTGATATTCACTAATACACCAAAGGTATAGAAAACAATGGAGGAAATATGTGAATGAAGAGAATTAAAAGTTTTGGCAAGATATTGGACTAGGGGGCAAAATGCAACAGGTTTGGGAAAGTGAACTGATGATGGTGAAACTTTTGCTGTAGACCAAGGCATTTTACATATATCATCCTATTCAATCCCAGTTATATGCAGACTACAATATTTTGAGCATGTTACTCTATTTTTCCCTTTTGTCAAATCAAAATAAAGCACCTTCCCCCCTAATCCTTGTAGACCTATTATGAGGACTAAAAATTACATGTACTTTGTTAAGACTAGAGCCTGGCCCAAGGCCAACACGGAAGGTCCCTCACTGGTGAGAACACTGAGCATGTGGGAGACTAGAGAACCAGACATGGTGAGGAATCTTCAACAAAATGAGTTTGCAACACACACAGGCTTCTCCTCACCAAGCAGTTTCTCTTTTTAGTCTTGTTCTATGTTTAGCTAACTCTGTAACCCTAGGGAAGTCACTTAATACGCCTTCTGGGTCTTGGTTTCATCACTGGTAAAAAAAAAATACAAGCACGGAGGTAAAGAACATTCAGGTTCCCTTTAATTTTTTAATATTCCATAGACGTTTTTATGAGTTTTGAAGAACAATGTGCACTTTCATGGCTATGGAGAAAACTTGTTTATCTCCAGAAATGGGAAGAACCAAACCAATTTTCCCCAGACCTGTGAGAAGTGGTCTTTTAAGGTGCATCCATGCCATTTCCCCATTAGGAGGAGTCCACTTGCAGCAGCTGGGGGTTTAAGGTATCTCAGAAGAATTTGGAACCTCTCAGTCTTTTTGTCACACTAGAATGTAGATAATACTTCCCCAGGCAACACTACACAGCACGATATTCTACACAACACTGCACAAGCCAGACAGCTACGCGATGGACTAGCTCAGGCTTTCATGAGACAGGAGGAAAGCTTTGCAGGTTTTTGTAGCTACGCGATGGACTAGCTCAGGCTTTGGTGAGACAGGAGGAAAGCTTTGCAGGTTTTTGTAGCTACATCAAAGTCCAAAGTCTTGACTGCTCTGGAGTTTTCTTCAGTACGGGAGAAAAGTGAGGTGGCAACAAATTTATTTAACACTGCAATCTAAAAGATGGTAAACATAGTTTCATTCCAAATGCTGACTCACTCTTACGATGGTAAGGAGGATATTTACCAATGGAAGTTCCCTGAGAACTAGGTCTCCAGGGTCTCCTCTGCAGAAAGGATTGCTTCAGCTTTTTTGACTTGATAAGATCCTTTCCCATAACCCCATTCAGTTTTTCTGCCTTTTACTTTCAAATCTGTTTCTTTCTTATGCTTTGTTTCAGTGCCCTGAGCAAAAAGAGAAGCAGCCATCACTGTTGAGAGGAGTCTTAAAAATGTTATTTGTGTTATTTAGCATAAATTCTTAAGAGCAATTCCAAAAAGAAAACAATTCCTAAATTGCTCATAAAACTAATAATGGAAAATAAACTGCTGAGGCACATTGGAAATTATGCTCCTGTTAGCTACTGCAATCAACATCTCAATTCTGTAGGTAATATTCTCATTATACTAAGAGGGGCAACCTCAGCCATACAGTTTATAATAGGATAGGGGCAGTCCAGTACATTATATATTCATAACCACTATTTAAAAAAAGATTTTGAAGATTATCTATCTATTGGGTTAGAAGGAAAAAGTCATGTTTTTACATTTTATTTGCTTTAGACCATATAAGGAGTAAATAGGGAACTTTTTTTTTTGGTAATATTTGTTTATATTTGAAAGGCAGATTTTATAAAGGAGAGACAGGCAGCTCTTCCATCCACTGATTCACTCCCCAAATGGCCAAAGTGGCTGTGAATGACTCAGGAGCCAGGAATATCTTCCAGGTTTCCCATGTGCATTAGCGGTCCAAAGACTTCAGCATCCTCGCTGCTCTCCCAGCCTGTAAGCAGGGAGCTGGACTGGAAGCACAGTAGCCAGGACTTGAACCAGTGCTCATAGGGGATGTGACTGCTGGCAGGCAGATTAGCTCAGTGAACCACCACAACAACTTCTGGGAATAATATTTAATTCCAGAAATTTCTGTGGGAACTTAAGTATCTTAAGCCACTATGTTTGAAATTATAGTGTTCTTCTTTAAAACTTAATTTATTATATGCTCTAATTAAAAGACAGCAATGTTTTCAAGCCATAAATCAGAATGCCTACAAAAATGTCCTCTGTTTTTCTATTCAAGGCAATAGTTGCGATTAGGAACGTGTCTGGGAGATGGGGCATACGGAGATCGGAGGCTGGTGGCTTTGAACAAGTGAATCAGGGCAAACATGGGTGTCTGCTTTTCCTGGGCTCACAGGCACACGTTCTTTCTTTTGTTCCAGTTGCCAACCCGTGCCCTGCTTTCCTTTGGATCCCAGTGAGCCCCATTTGACTTCTTTCTCTAAGTCCTGCGGCCTATTATTTGTAGGTCAGACTCAGAGTCTCACTGATACTCACGTGTTGCTGATGAGAACTGACTCATGGTCGGCTGTGGCAGTAGGTGACTTGGACCTGGGGAGTAGGACCTGGGCTGAAATTCACTTGAGCATTCATTTTGAATTAATAAATTAACAAGTACCAAGGTAACAGTGATCCCTTATTGCTCCCCAGTTACTGAACAGTTCCGGGTGAACTAGTGGGAAGGAAACCTGCACCTTCACTCCATTTCAATTAGATTATTCCTTTTGTGGTCAATATGGTACACTTGTGGATGGGATTTTGGAAAAATGGGCAAAGCAGTGGTCTATTCCGGGGGTTCTCAACTTTGGCTGCTCATCAGACTCTCCGAGGGGACTTCCAGACAGCGCTCACGACACCTGCCTGAATAAAGACTTTGTTAAATCTGTTCTGATCCAGACTCATAAAGCTCTTGGTGATGAGGATACTGTGGGCCTCCCTGGTTGTACTTTGAGAATCTGTTAAATATTAGGGCTTTCCATGCACCACCTCCAGACGGATTCCACGAGCATGGAAACTAGGCATTGATAATTTTTAATCAGTCCTTCAGCCTGTATTTTAATTTCCCATGCCCCATTTTAACATGTAGCCAAGGCTGAGAACCGCTAGAACACTGCATGGACTCTGGATGGTTTTCTAAAGCTGCCGAGCTTGGGACTCAGCGAATCTCTACATCTCTCGGGCAGCGGCAGGACTACTGCGGCATCTGAGGGCATTACCTGAAGTCACTTAGTAATTTATGATAATAGCCGCTGAGATTTTCACTCCCACTCTTTTGGCTGCCTTCCCTCGGGAGGCCTTTCTGACCACCTCCGGGTGTTTTCCATTACTGAGACAGCCTCACTGTTAGTGCAGCACCCAGAGGAAAGGTCTGAAAGAAATGGGGTTCGTTGGAAACCCATCTGCGTCCCTGGTGGGTCCGCTTACCCCTTGCTGTGGCAACAAGTGTGCTGGGCATGCTCAGTGGGAAGGGTCGGGTTTGTGGGGTGCAAGTGGGAAGCCTGCAATTCGGATACCCGGCTCTGCGCCTCCCCCGCCCCCTCCCTCCACCTGTATGAGGCTGGGCCTGAGGAGCCCAGCACCCCACCCTCCCCAGTGCTTGGGTTTGGTCTTCCCTGCGTGTCTCCACGCTGACATTCAGGCGGGGGGCGGGAGGGTCAGGAGGCCTGGCCAGTCTCCAGAGCACGCGCGGGGAAGCCCGGGCCAAGGGCTTTGGGTTCTGACGACGACGAGGTCCCAGGGGTCCACCCGCCTTCTGCTCGATGCGTTTCTAGGCCCAGGGAAACCTGCGTATCCAGAGGTGCCGACCGGGAGAAGCCAGCTTGGGGGGGGCAGCCGGCGAGACAGCAGGTAAACCAGCGCCAGCGCCCCCGCAGGCTGGCGCGCCAGTGTCTCCCCTCTCGCGGGCAGATGGCGAGGGCGGCCGGCGTGGGGGAGGGTGCAGGACCTGAGACACCTCCACCGGCTTCCCCGGCCTAGTTCAGCGCCGGCTTTCCAGAGCGTCGGCCCGCCAGCTGGCCTGGTGGCGCTCAGGGTCCATCGCCCGCAGGCGAGGGTCCAGGCTGGCACGGTGGCCCGGCGGCGCCCCACCCGGCAGGCTCGGAGTCCCCGGCCCCGTCTAAACCGCCTTCGTAGGGAGGCCGAAACCTGTTGTCTGCCCACCCCAGGGCCGGGTTCCCGCTTGCACTTCCGCGTTTCCCCGCAGGGCCGGAGGGGCCGCGGCCCAGGGCTGCGCACGGCGGGCGGTGGCCGGGGTCAGGGCCCGGCGAGGGAGGCGCGCGAGGGGGAGGAGGAAGTGGCCGCGGAGGCGGGGGCGCGGCGGCGCAGGGCGCTTCGGGTTACGCTGGCCCAGCCTGACCCGGGTGACATCCCCGCGCCTTGCTGCGGGCTCCCCGGCCGAGGCTCTGATTCCGGGAGGAGGCTGACTCCTCCTCGGCTGGAGGAACCTGTCGTTCCCGCCCGCCGTCCCCTCGCGCGTGAGGAACCATCTCAGGTGTGTGTGCGCCTCCTTGGCGGGGGGGGGGGGGGGGGGGGGCGTCTCTCCCAGGCTTCCCAGGGAGGGGGTGGTCCTTCTCGGACCCCGCGCTTTCTGGGAGTCCAGTGTTGTGAATGATGGCGGGAAACTGGAGGAAGGATTTCCAGTCCCCCACCAGCAGAAGATGGGCTGGTTCTAGAGTTTAGCTGTTTCTGTTGGAGGGGTGAGATAACATTTGCAAAAAAACACTTTGTGTAGTGGCTAAGGTTGGTGTCTCTGAAAGTTTGTGTCAACTTTCGGCGCGTGGAGGTGGCTTTTCTGTGAAGCGAGGGTGGGGACCGTTCTGAAAGGGGACTGAATGTTTCCTGAGAAACTTAGCTGCTGGAACGTGACAGTCCATGGAGGAAGTGGAAGGTACACGCTGGTGAACTTGAAGCAGGCTCCACTCCCCACGTAGTAAGTAGTAACCGACCAAAATGTGTGTGCAGAGCGTGCTTACGGTACAGCCGGGAGATTGAAGAGTGGCTTGCCCTCGTGCAGAGGAGTACTGGCTCCTGACACTGTCTTCCACAAGAGTTCCAAAGTAATTTACAAGTTCTCACAAAGTCGAAGTGCCAGGGGCAGCCCGAATTACTCACCTCATTAGAAATATTGAGGAGGCAGCTAATGAACTGAACTTGGGTAAGTGAGAAAGGGAAGTTGCTCCGTTACATGGAGTCTGTATTGCTTAAAGTTTGAAGACAAGTGGAGTTTCTTCTTTGACTGGGGGACATTCATGACACTAGCCACCCTGGGTGAAAGCCCTTCTTTTAGCCAATGTCTGTTCTAAGTCTTTGAGCCCTCCGGTTAGTTCCTGCTAGCTATCACGGTCCTGTGACAGCTGGGCGCCTTAGCCAAAGGATACGGTCTCCTGTGATGTGGATGTTGAAATTGCCCTGTGTGGTGCACAGCAGGGCTATGGCAAGTTACAAAATTCCTTCTTTTTTTTTTTTTTTTTAAATTAAGCCAGCTCTTCATGTGACGTAGTAACGCATTTGTGAATAAGGCACAAAGGTTGGGACTTGGGGGTTTGAGAATCAACCTTGGCCCAGTGCATTCTGATAGTTCACACAATCACTTTGCAAAGAAATGCTATACGGCATTCCTTCCTTTCCCTTGCCTTTGATATTTCAACGGATATTTTGGTATGGTTCAGCAACAACAAGGCCACAGGGTTTCCGATGGTCAGTGGGCTTCCTTTCTGTCCCCACTTGAGTTTCTATGGCTATTTGGTCTCATTGGGGACTAAAAGATTTGATTGTCATTGTGCACAGGTCATGTGAATGAGTTTCTCTAACTCTTTGCTTTCTGTCTTTCATGGCCAGAAGTTGAGTTCTATGAGACTAAGGCTTAATCTGTCTTGCTCATTTTTAAATCTGGTGTTTACAGTGGTGACTGTGTTGTAAAAAAACAAAAACAAAACCAATAAATGTATTCCCAATGAGTGTCTGAATATGGAACAAACTCAAGCTAAATTTGGTGGTGCGAAGAGAAAGGCAGTCTGTTAACCTAGGTGACCTATTTAAACTCACTAAATCTCAGTTGTTTTCTTGGTAAAATATGGGTAATATGTGATATAACACACAAAGAATTAATTAGGATTATATCTGGAGGGTGCTAAGTAAGCTTCCGGATGTATCTTTCTTCCTTAATTTTTTTCTTATTCCAAAAGGAAATTTTGGGCAGAAAAGCACAGTCACCCAGCTACTTTAACTCTTGCATGCTGTGTGCAGGTTATCCAACGGTTTATTTTTCCCTTTTAATTTGGGAGATGTGTGGAGGAGGCAGGAGGAACAGAGGAAGTGGGGGATGGGAAGTAGCAGCTGTGCTTATTAGAGATGACAAAATAATTTTCATGTCATTGTTTCTTTATCCCTTTTAAGTTGTTGAATGTGGTGATAGTTCTAAAGCTCGAATCTTTGCACCTGTCAACACCGAGACTTACAGGAAGGGCTATCCTAAGTGGAAAAACAACACTTCAGAGAGCTCTGGCTATTAAATACCTAAGTGAAGTTTGGATAGCAGTAAGCTCTAGATACATAAAACCTATGGCTGTCCTTTTTAGAGAAGCTTCGTTTGTCTAACAAGGTAGCACATGCAATTGTATACCAAGGGGAGACCCACATACGATCTGGCTTAGTCATGTTCCCAGTGGCAGGATGTCAGGGATAATTGTCACAATTCTGGAAGGGCGAGGTTAACACAGGCTGAAGTTATTGCAGACAATTTGTGGTGAAGGGAAATGCCAGTTCAGTAACAGGGAGAGTTAAAGGTTCCCTGGAGACTCTAGGAAAAGAAGATAATCTTTGTTCGAAGAATAGTTGTTATTTTGTACTGCAGCATATATATTTGTGTGTGTTTTAAAGATTTATTTATTTTACTTGAAAGAGTTACAGAGAGAGAGAGAGAGAGATCTTCCATATGCTGGTTCACTCCTTAAATGGCTCAGATGCCTGGAGTAGGGCCAGTTTGAAGCCAGGAGCTTCTTTCAAGTCTCCCACTGGGGTGCAAAGGCTCAAGGACTTGGGTCATCCTCCTCTCCTTGCCCAGGCCACAAGCAGGAAGCTGGATTAGAACCAGGGCAGTCTGGAATGGAGCAGCCTGGTTGTGAATCGCTGCCATATGGGATGACAGCACAGCAGGGGGAGAATTACCTTGCTACTCCACCATGCTGGCCCCACCAAAGTATGTTTTTCGAACATATAACATAATCATGTAAATCAGAATTAATATCTTATTAAATTAATTTTTATATTAAAAACTGTATGGGAACTCCCCAGTAAAATTCTGGAATAATACAGAACAGTAATTTTTACTGTGTCTCTGAAGTTTAAAGCCTGGGATTGTTAAAAATTATAACTCTTTATTCTTGTCACTTTTAACAAGGTCCAAATATGTGTAATAGCTTGCTATCCAATTGTAACAATGTGATTTTTTTTTTTACCTGAATAGCAGGGGGAAAATTACTAATCATCTAAGATTGTTAAATTGGCACAAAACGGCTTGTTCCTGGGAAGAGAGAGATGGACTGAATGCAACTGAGTTTAGAAGGCATTATCAAAGTAGCCTTTTGGTTGCCTATCAAGATACTTAGACAATGCCAGTATGTTTTACTAAGAAGAAAAGTTGAAAGTGGTGCATTAGGGAAAGAACAAATTAGCAATGGAATTCGTTATATTCTCTTGTTTTAGAATTATTAACAGGGGTGAAAGAAATGTAGCAGGGAGAGAAAATCAGCGTCACTCCGAGTAAGGGCAAGGGCCGAGGTGGCCCTGTCGGGACCTCTCTAGCGCCTGCAGAGTAAACCTCTTCCTCTAACCAGGCATTGGTTTCCAGAATGCTGAAGTAGAAGGAAGCGAGAAATGCCCAGGATTTGAATCTCTGAGGATGTGTAGATAGTAATTGGGGTCAGAGTTTGGGCCAGAATGGATGTGATCCTTTTTTCCCTTTTTTCTTGGATTCTTAGTATTTCTTACATGCAATATCTGTGCTGACTTTTCAGTTGAGAAAAAGATGTTGGTTTCTTTGGAATCAAATTTCTGATATGTATAGTAAAAACATGGCTTCTGGTTTTAATTAAATGAGATATAGATTTTTAAAAATTATTATTTTGCTGAAATTAGTGGGGAAAAGTAGTTAATAGAAGATGTGACCTCAGATAAAATTTCATTGTCACATTCTTTCCGAGTTCTTGACAAAAGAGCTTTTTTTTAAACAACTGCTTTTTATCCTTTTAAATAAACATTTATTTAGTTTTATTGGAAAGTGAAATTTATAGAGAGAAAGATCTTCCATTCGCTGGTTCAGTCCCCAGTGGCTGAATTGGCTGGAGCTGAGCTCATCCAAACCTAGGAGCCAGGAGCTTCTTCTGGGTCTTCCACGTGGGTGTAGGGTCCCAAGGCTTTGGGTTGTCCTTGACTGCTTTCCCAGGCCACAAGCAGGGGGCTGGGTGGCAAGGGGAGCAACCGGGATAAAAACCAGAGCCCATATGGGATCCCAGCGCATACAAAGCAAGGATTTTAGCTACCAGGCTACTGTGCTGGGCCAACAAAAGAACTTTTAAAATCCCTGGAATCTCTGGAGTGATAAGTATCATGTTGCATACTAATGAGATTCTAAATGACTCTTGGGCCTTGGGCAGCTTTTTGGCGGGGTTGGTATCCAGATGACGTTATGTTTTTGGATGTTGGGAATTTCAGTTCTCTGAGTAGGGGGCTAGTGCTACAGATCGAGCCAATCACTAAAGCCCAGGGATTTAATCTGCCCCAGCTGGGTAACCTGCATCAAATCCCTGAATCATCTTGTGACTCAGTGAAAACATGGAGTTGTACAAGGCATGGCATTCCATGGAGGAACCACGTGACCTCTCTTCCTGCACACCAAAGTAATACTTTGCTCATTTGTGTCCTTTATAATATTAAAACAGACCAGTGTAAGTAGATTGTTCTGAATTCTGTGAGCCAGTATCATAGATTATCCAACCTGAGGAGGGTGCTATGGCAATCCCTGAGCAGTAGCCAAATCGGAGACCAAATATCAGTGGTCTGGGGCCTTGGTACGTGTAACTGGCATCTGAAGTGGGACTCAGTTTTACAGGACTGGCATTCTGAGTAGAGAAGTCATTCGCTTCTAGTATGAATGTTGTAAAATATTACTCGGGGACAGCTTTCACTTTCTGAGACCAAATGAAACGATTGCTAATGTGTTTTATTTTCCAACAGCGAAATATTATTTAAGTGTGAAGATTTTGGGGGGAAGTAATGACTGTTTCAATTCGATTTTTTTGAGCTTTGCATCCTTCAAATAGGAGGATACATCCTGTGGAATGTCATATTTGACATGTTATACATCTATTTCTGTAAAAAACAAAAAAGTTCTAGTATATTGGGAAAAACAAGTTCTACCAAGTGTAACAGAGAGTATTTTCTGAAAATGACAACTTTAGATGCCACCACTCTCATAAGAAGTAGCTTCTCAGT